TGTGGTAAACATCCATTGAATCATTAAGCGTCTCAAGGTTGGATTGCAACTTTCAATAATAACAATTGATACTTCTTTTTGAGATTGTCTTTTACGCCTCCCTCAACTTGATCTTTGTAGAGTAAGTTGTCCACAAAGGGCAGCCACCTGTTGGGGCGCCCAGGGAGCTGGGGGTTAAGGGCTTTGCTCAAGGACCCACAGACATGCCGGTTTTGAACTGGCGACCTTCCGATTACAGGCTCAGCCCACTGAGCCACACGCTACCCCATTGATGCCCTCGTCTGTTGGACCCAGTTATTTGAAAAAAAGGGGAGGTTTCAAAGATGTAGTAGTTCCTGGCTAGTATTACTGTAGGTTTTACGCTGGTACCTAAACAGATCATCACCGTGGTGATGTGTGTTCCTTAACATGCACATGTGGTCCTGCCGTGTCTCTCTTTGGAACATTCTAAGATTCTAAGACCATCCTTCTAAGGCCCTCCCTACTGCGAGTGTTCTGATCTTCCATGTGAGCCATCCAAACACATCGACTGGATGTTTTGGCCGAGTCCTTGCAGCTTCCACGACCAGCATCCCAGCCCAATCAGTCCTGCTGTCAAAACCGTGTTTGCTGTGAACGATTCCCATGAAAAGTGAAAAGGCTGGTGCCCGATTTATAATGTATGTGAATAATTATGTATATTTATGATGCTATATTAAATATTTATACTAGTATATTAATATTTATAATGATAATAGCATTTATAATTTATAATTATATGTGTGACCGTTTGCTCTGTAGAAGAGTGACTCTTTGGGGTGTTTATGGAGTACAGTTCTCCTTCCAGTCAAACTCGAAGGGATGCAAGAATGTGTAGCAATTACGATGTCGATATGGAGAATCCCAGACGAAAACTGTGTCTAGATGATGCTGGCTAACTGGCATGAAAGTGTCCTGCCCAAATATGGGTACGAGTGAAAAGGAGCATTTTCACACTTAATATTCAAAGTGGGTGTTTTCGAGGCAAACCACGCTTTAGTGGGTTTGCTGATTTCCAGTCAGTGATGGAACAGGCTCAGCACAACTCCTAGGCTAGATATGTTGAGGGTTTCTTTACTGATATCTTCCAGAATAAACTTGAACATGAATGATGCTATGGTGTGAGCAGACTTGGCCCGCCTGTCTCACCTCTCATTGTTTGCATTGCTTCGTTTTGCTTTGCACCACCTGCACGATCCCTAACGATGTTAAACCTGGCACAGTTTGTGAATTGATTGGCTGTAAGGATGTTAAACCTGGCACAGTTTGTGAATTGATTGGCTGTAACGATGTTAAACCTGGCACAGTTTGTGAATTGATTGGCTGACTAGTCGGTGTCGATTTTCATGCAGCTACTTGGTGCATCAAGACTTTAGTGATGTAAATGTAGCTCTTGGGGTCCTTACATATGTCAGTCCCCCTCCCAGAAACTACTTTTTTGACTTCTGTTCACAAGCGTTTAATTCCAGGTCAGTCTAAGTCACGTGGTCTCTCAAGGGTGTGCTATCGAACCACACCTTGTTATACTTGGGATATCGAGGCTAGCATTCTGGCCTTCAGCAAGCCGGTCAGCATTCTCCATCAAGTCCTTTACCTGGATCACTCTGTTTTGGTCAGGATCTACCCATGTTAACTTTGATCAGATCAAGTGTATCTATAGCAGGGGTCTCCAACTCCGGTCCTGGAGAGCTACTATCCAGTAAGTTTTCTATCCTGCTTGGCTTCTGATGAGCCACACCTGTTCCTGGTATTTACCTGAGAGCAGGTGTGACTCATCAGAAGCCGGGAAGGATTGAAAACTCTCCAGGACCGGAGTTGGAGACCCCTGATCTATAGGAACCTTTAGTTTTGTGTATGGACCCAAGCTTCCAAGTTGCGAGGGGCAATTCTGTTCCCAGCAGGAAGGGGATTATGGTGGATCCGTCATGGACATGGGGCTCTTCAAAGGTGTCCTTGCTGGTCCAATCTAGATCTCAGCCACTAGAACATCACGTCTCTCGTTTGAAATGCAGATGTGTTCCCTGGCAAAACTACAGCCTGAACTGCTCTTCAAAAGTAGCTATAAAAAGAACAAGCAATTAACGTGAATTTTGTACTCTCATCTAAAAGTATGTATTTACCGAAGGCGAGTTGTCTGTTGTATAGGTATGATACTGTACTTCTTCACCTAATTTATCCATCCATCCATCCATCCATCCCCATGCATGATCTCCCCCTCCCCATGTGAGCCTGGAGCCCCACTCAGGAAGTAGAGGGCAGGAAGCAGGGGGGGGGACCCTAGACAGGATGCCCTTCCATCACAGAATACACCATAGCCAATTAGACAAGCCAGATCATCTAATCACATCCCATCTTTGGGCAGCAGAAGGAAACCACTCAGAAGAAAGTGCAGGGAAAACATGCAAACTGCACCCACAAAACGCCAGGTGCAGGATTCAAACTGGCACCCTTGGAGGTATGAGGCTCCATTGCCCCCCGAGCCATCATGCCAGCCAAAGATCCAACCACGATACCCGAAAGCGGCGTCCCAGCCCAGTGCCCATCATTACTTACGTGTCAATAGAAATTCACCTACATCCTGAACCCTTGGGTCCCAGTTTCCGTGAAGCTGATCGGTCATTTTCAGTAACCCGGTGTTTCTGGGCAGGGTGTGAGTACCAGGTACGGGGGGGGGGGCTTCAGCTGTGATGCACTGTGCCCGGCGTGCAGCTGCCGGCCGAACCGCCGCAAGCCGTGGGCGCTGACGGCTGCACGGCGCCCTGGAGTAGTAATTACGCCACTGATTGTTCTCTGGCTGGAGCCAGTGTGGTACTAAATGTGGCACCATGCCTGCTGAAGGGATAGACTGAGAGCTAAAAGCAGACTTGGCTGGGGGGGGGGGGGGGGGGGGGGGGGGGGGGGGGGGCTCATTAACAACAGCTTTAGCATGACCGTGACCCCGCCCACGCGCCCCC